CCTATGGATTGACCACCTGGTTAGTCACCTAGTCCGACTCCAACCTGACCTATAGTATTCCAGCTCGATCCCGTCGGAGGTTTTTGTCTGGGGATTGTTGTGTGTTGCACGATTGGGGCTCCACCGTGTCAGCGATCACCCGCAAAGCGCGGTTACGCAATAACGTTGGGGTGGTGGGATTGCTTCGACGATTCGATGATCGAGCGCCTCCCCTCGCCCCCCTTGCCCGGACTTCTTCCACCCGGTCCAACTCGGATGAGCCAGGTGACTGAATTCTGGAACAGGCCTACGGTACGGATTACGATCACTCTTATTCATGGTCAGGGGAATGGGTGATTGTGACTGGTGAGTGTCGCCGTGGCGTAATGCTGGCCCTGCCCTAGGGATGTAAGCGGAATAGAGTGGGTGAGCTTGAGAAGGATTGACTTCTGCCGGACAAAGACGGTCCCTTTTGACAAGCATGTTCTTTTTGAAAACGAAATATTCAGGTTTGAAAAATAGAAGGAAACGGGAGGCCCTTCTTCTTTGTCAATATTGCAGACATAGCGAGTCTATCAATCTACACGGTGTCCAAGTAGAGAAGTTCTGCAATCTCACTGGCAACGAGGAAACAAATCTAATTGGGCCGATCTAGGGGAGAGCTATACAACGATTCAACATTAACTCGGAGACCTCAGATGGATGACCATGATTTACCCATCTCCTGAGCAGGTATAATATCGTTCCGTATATTCCTCCGGGTACGACGATGCACCCAAAAGAAATTTCGCTTACGGGTCATGTGGTAAAAAATAAGCCCTTCGACAAGCATCCGAAGGCCGACGACCAACTAGCAGTCCAGAAATGAGCGCCGTGCATGAAGCTGCAAATATGGCGTACAAAAGTAAATTGCTAAAATACTTGAGTATTGGTGATGGATATTTGCAAACAATTGATTTCATAAAACGGTACAATGAAAGTTAGTTGAATAGCTTCTATTATCAAGCAACACTGCCGAGCTCGCCCAGTTGATGACGGTCGTTTACAGTACTGGAGTAGTACGTCTTTCATTGTCCAGTCAATGCTTCCGTTCCGTCCTGCGGGACTCCTTCCCCCGGCCCCCTTCCCCACGCTAGAGCCACCCCCAAGATCATCCCCATCCGCGTTGCAGCTTAAGGAGCTGCATAGTGTGGCTGACCGTGCGGCCGTTTAATTGGTCACTTGGCCCTCCTTGAGTCATCTCGGGTCACCTGCAGCGTCTCTCAGACTCGCCCTAAGGGTGACTAGTGGCCCTTAGGGGCCTTTTAGGCCCATCTGGTCTGGCTTTAGTAGCAAATGGGGCAGGTCTGGGGATTCTGCAAACGAAATGTCCGTGCGAACTGGTGCAGGAAGATTGCAGGGGGAGAAAGTCTGGGGATGGACGAAATCTAGAGGATACTACCGCATGTATACCGTACAGTGTAGTATCTGATGTCTAAGACAGTAAACTTCCAGAGCAGCTGACCAAGCGATGGTATTAACTTAACCACTAGATCAAGATGCTGATCCGAAGGGTATGGCAAAGGGCAGTCTCGTTTCTTTATTTTTGTATCATAGTGATCATCTTTGTTTCGTGTGGATTTTGTGGTGACCAAGGAAAGCATAAAAAGTACTCATTATAGTCGTACTCTGTACCCTCCGAGAGTCGTCCTTGGTCTTTGTCTCTCCGCCAACATCCGATCCGAGACCTTTCCGACCACTCTCAGCCCAGCATCGTGTCAATCAACAAAGCAACCAGTACGCTCTTCCATACCTCGGACGATGAACTGGATGGACAAAAAACTTGTAATGCATTGACATGTCGCACCAAAAACGATACTCGTCGATCGCAAGGCTGCACCAAGTCTTACAAGAACAATAAGTTGCCAGTTGCCTCCAGGAAGTCCTCATGCCAAACCCCAGATCCAGCCACATCAACCACACCGATCCGGCGATGGATCTCGGGGCGCCAATCAAGCGGTGCGCTCGTCTAGTCCCCTCGTTCCGAGCGACCCAAACTCAAATGGGCGTGGCTGCAACGTGCATCGGCCAAAGGCAAAAAGGCGGTTTAACCGATGGACGGGCAAGTTAGATTCTAGAAAGTTTCTGGGGTTGATTCAAGGGATAAGGGGGTGTGCCATCATCCATGGGGATTGGGGGAACGAATGGAAAGAATCCGGGGTGGCTACATTCGGAGAGACATCAAGGTCAGGCACGTTATTTCATTCGGCTGGATTCAACCCATTGGTTCTGTTCCTTCTTTTTCCGCAAGCATTTTCTTTATTCTCCCATGGGATGGCCATCCCTTTCGATCAATTCCGCCACGCCAAATCGTTCTGGTACCGGGCACGACTCCAGCCGGCCGAACGTGCCAGCCATACCCACCCCCGGAATTTCTAGGCCAAACTTCAGCCTAAGCAGGACTCCAGCCTACCGTCTAGGCGTCTACTCATGACGGCCCCCAGAAAACAAAACCTGGTCTGGCCTGACCATTGGCCTTTCCTTGGTCTGTCGAATTCAACGATTTCAATTGGGGGGATCCCCAGCAACCTCAGGGAAATCCCCCACACGAACCCTTCGGTCGCGGCCTTCCCCCACAAAAATGGCGCATGGCCCTCTCTTATTTCGGGGCCTTGGTGCGGATCCTTCCGCCCATTGGAAGCTCCGCCCCAGCCTCTTCGGTGGATCTGGATGGGTACCTGGCCACATCATAGACGCTCCAGTCGAACTGACGGAGGTCCTAGCGAATAGTCTCTGAGCCACCCCGGCCATCCTAGGGTGTGTCGCTTTTCTGTTCTTTGCGCGACCGTTGCCGATCGTGACTGAAGGGAGGCCCAGTCACGAGGGCGGTTTGATGATAATCGCCCTTCGTATTTGGGGGTTTGGGGAGCTAGTCGTACGAGCCACGGAATGTTTCGTGCAGGACGAGGACGGTGTAGAAGGATGTGCGGACTACAGTAGGAATAGGCTCCCTACTGGAGAGAACGATCACCGGTAGTGCATTATTATACTCTATCATCATGATCAATGATTGCCACCGAGATCGTTGTACGTTCTGGAATGTGACATACCCATTAAAGGAGGTGAATGGTCAGCTTGGGGGGTGAAAGATTGGGCCTGGTACCTTGCCGGGGGGAAAAAAACACGAGGCATTTTTAGTCCCAACTATGTGCTCCAGAACGAAAAAAAGTGTACTCTACTAATTACTACCACCGATTTTTAGTTTCCCATCACACCGATGTTCGGACCTACCGTAACAAGACTGCTTCTTATTTTTTTTTTTTTTTCTCTACCCACCATGCCGGTTATCATGCCAGTTGAGCCATAAAGATGATGTCGAATATCAACCTAGTGACATTCCACAGCTGAGCTATTCTTGTCATTGCCGTATCTCACGGGTATCTCTTATCATGGCGCTCCACTGGCTTGTTTCAGCTCCCTAAGCGGGTCCCGTTGCAATGCCCACCTCGGTACAAACCCCGGAGTAACCAAGGACGACGAGAAAACGATACGTAACCGTGTTGGGCTTGTATTGAAGCTGCCGTCAACCCGGACTGTACGGAGCTTAGTGCAGGCTACTATGACCGTGTACTGTATATATGTGAGTTCCGACATGGCAGTATTTCCACCCACCAGACAGGTTGTACCTTTGGGATACTACACCCGACCTATCGCTAGCGCAACTGTCCATGACGCCACTAATCCCCAACCAGGCAACTGCGTGGAGGGACTTTCCAGACAAGCCAATCGCCCGAGACGCTGGACGATAGAGAACCAGGCCCCCAGGCCCCAGGAACCGGTGAACTGGTGGGCTGGCCGAAATGGTGGGCGGCGAGAGCCGGCCAGTGCGTGGCGGCAAGATTCGAGGCTACGCCAATTCCGGCAGTACCCTGGCTCATCGATTCGGGGCTGGCCATTCACCGTCGGCCGTTTCGTTCACCTGAGAAGGACGTTGTCTGATCCTGAATGGCCCTGGGCTCTGGCTGGTCAAGTCGATAATCGAGGACGAGCGATTGGTTCCCCAGGCCGTCCGTGTGCAAGGGCCCCACTACTTCATTTTGGGGGTATCTGCGGTATTGTGGAGTCGGTGTCGTTTAGTGTTTGGGGAGGGTATTATCGGTCTCCTTTACTAAGGACGGATGAACAGATAGCCTTATCCGGGTATGTATGGGACCCGTCCCGCTGCCACGGGGGGCGCTTGGAAGCTGGGGGGCTTCCTCGTTAACAGCCTCGTGTACGTGCAGAAGGAGGGCATGTATATATGCTCCATATAAATGTTTGTATAATCACTATAGGATAGACACTGAGCTATTATCAATGTAGTTTTACCTCCCATACTTGCCACTACTGCCACGCCAACGCCCATGAATCGGCTCGTTCGGTCGTACCGGACTTACTGCGCGTTCCCATACGATACATACCGTACGTACCATACATCGGACCACCCACGTTTCCTACGCTAGACTCCGTCTGGCGTGTCTTGGCCTTCCTTCCGTAAGGTACCCTCCGTACGAGTACTACAGCGATCCCGTACAGCAAAGTACGGCGAGTACTTAGGTACTTGGAGGTCCATGGACTTCGTTGCTCGGAGGCAATTCACGTCCTTGCAACTTCTCCAAACCTCATTCCCTTCCATCCTTTCTCCATTCAACCTTCATCCTCGATTCACCTTTCCCTTCCTCCTGCTTCTCAACTTCATATCCTCCTTGCGCCCGCCCTATCTAGCTTATCTGCAATTGCCCGCGATCTCGGTTATCTCCGGCCGTCTCCAACTGCCCCGTGCTCCGACCTCCCCGTCGTGAGAAAGAGCCTCTCTCTTTCCCCAGCCAACTTGATCTCGCAATCTCGTCGATTTTCAATGGATACGTGCGAATTTTAGAGATCTCGACTCGACTCGATTCACATCGCTTACCCTGTGAGTGATTTCTTCGGCTACAAGCTACTCCCCCCGATATTTTTGCCTCCTCGTAGCCAGGCAGACTCGACCCCCGGTTGCCTTACTCATGCTCCGAATCCCCAAAGACTGGAATTTCCCCCACGTTCGTCCAGATATTCTGTCCCGCCCACCGGTCGCAGGTCCTCACATCCTGTCTTTTTGGACATTTTGATTCTTGCGACCTCGCCCGTTGAGAGGCAGCATTATTTGGATTGCCCCATCTGTACATTGCTTCTTCCCGCTTGCAATCATCCGGTGGGTCCCGCACTTGTCCATGATAAGCCTCGTCCGTTACCTGGGATTGGGGGCAACGAACGACGCCGGTCTTGCGAACGCAATCCTAATTTCTTATCTTTTTTTTTCCATCGCGCACTTGGGACAAAACAAGAAGATGCTAACATAATGTCATCCCGACCGTGCAGTCCTTGATGCGACCCTTTGTGTAAATTCCATCAACCGACCACGCCAATCCGTCGCTATCGTCACCTTTGGGAAGAGTGACGAATACCTCTTCCAATCCGCGAGAAACCGCCCTATCCTTCCTCCATCCAATCCTCCGAGTCACCCAGTTCCTCTGGCGTTGGCAAACATTGGCGAACAATTTATCTTATTCCCCTTAGTACGCGACCAGTCCATTGATCCCGTTACGCAGGGGTCAAAACGACATTCTATTAGGATGCTGTTAGATGCTATGGCTGGCCACGAACGAGACCAAAGCCCGCAATTGGTAGATCTCGCCAGTATCAACGAAAACCCAGGAAATATGCCTGGTAAGTCTTTTCTCTGCGGCGCCCCAGTCGATTAACTCATCCAAAGTCTTCCACGAATTCTGAACTTCTCTTTCTTTCTCCATCGAACAGCTCCATCGAAGGAGACTAAGAAGCAGGCCGAAGCTAATGGCCAGACCGGCGCCAATGGCAATATTCCCCCTCCCAAGACAGACAAGCCGCGGCCCCATGTCTGTACCACCTGCGGTCGCTCCTTTGCGCGATTGGAGCACTTGAAGCGTCATGAGCGCTCGCACACCAAGGAGAAGCCCTTTGAATGCCCCGATTGCGCACGATGCTTCGCTCGTCGTGATCTGTTGCTCCGGCATCAGCAGAAGTTGCATATGACAACCACCCCTTCCTCTCGGCCCAGAAACGGTCGCCGAGAGAGTACGGGTGCTGCGGGTGCGGGCGCGGGCGCGGGCGCCAATCGCGTGCGCAAGAACTCCATCGCTAACAACTCCGCCTCGATGCGGCCTCGTGCCAACACGATTAGCCACATCGGTACATCGGCCCTGGGTATTCCAGATGGAAGTAACCCGTCCTCTGCGCCCGGTCAATCGGGTCACGCATACCACCCCAGTCTTGGAACTTCATTAGGCTCAAGTGTAGACTACAGGGGGTTCAGCTCCGGGCATCCACCGGTGAACGGTCTGCCTAAGCTAGAGACGTCGGGACTCCCCATGGATATGTCTGGTGGTTTGCGGACGGCTCCCGTCTACGGGAGCTTCGATCTGGGAATTGATGGTATGCTTATGGGTCACGGCAGCACCATCAATCCCGCTCAACTACACTTTGCAGGTTCTCCCCAGGGCTTTGGTGACTCCCCCTCTTCCCCATTCGGCCACCAACACCATGTGATGCCTCACCCGGATCCCATGATGGACGAGGAGATGAACTTTGACTGGATGAATGGGTTTGATGCGGCCGTCGCGCTGGGAAATGGTAACGACTCGGTTATCGACGAGTCCTCGCCATCGGCAATGAGTACGGGTAGCCAGAGCGGTATTAGTGAGGCGATGTTGGACGGGCCCAACCGCATCCCCATCTCTAATGGCTGGCATAACCCTTTCCCCGGACACACGGTGGCTTCCGCCAACCAATTCGCCATCGACTTTTCCCCGACGACGTTGAACGAATTGGGTATTCCGCCGGAGACCGTGTCGCCCAAGTCGCTGATGGCCCAGAACCCGTTCGCAGAGACCTATGCCACCCCTCCCTCCATGACCTCGGTCGGCCAGCCCATCGTGGGAGGACATTCGCAGAGTATGTTTTCATCCTCAATGGCAACAAACGGAGAATCTCCTAATCCTCTCAACGTTCCTTTCCCGAATAGTGCCCTACGAAATCAACATTCCCCAGTCTCAACGGATACATTTACAGACTCCACTCGACAGGCTCTACTAGCGAGCATGTCTCAACCCACTGGCTTCAATCACCGCAAATACTCTCAGCCCGCCTCTAGTCTTCTCAATAGTCGCGAGCTATTCTCTCGCTCAACTGGCTTCAACACTTCCGGTCAACTCCCCAGCACCTCGGACATGCAGCGCTACATTTCGGCCTACATTACCTATTTCCACCCTCACTCGCCTTTTCTTCACATCCCAACCCTCAACTTCCAGGCCCCAGAGTACACGAGCAACCTCCGCACGCCGAGCGGACATCTTAACCTCAGTTCGACCGGTGTTGCGGGAGGCGGTGGCTGCCTGATTCTTTCAATGGCTGCCATCGGTGCTTTGTATGAATATGACACGGCTGCTTCCAAGGATCTGTTCGAAGCCGCAAAGAAAATGATTCAGCTATATCTGGAAGAACGACGCAAGGCCGACATGTCCGCCGCATTGAGTCGTTCCAACTCGGTCCGCGATAATTCTGTACACAACACTCCCCTCTGGCTGGTGCAGGCCATGCTGCTCAATGTGATCTACGGCCATACTTGCGGCGATAAGACATCCGCAGACATTGCCAGTACACATTGTGCTGCTCTCGTTAGTTTGGCTCGTGCTGCGGAGCTGACGCATCATCTGGATCCCAAGAGCCTGCCGCAAGATCATCTCAATTCTGGATTTAATGCTTCGGATCCCTCGGATACTGAAAACTGGACTTCGTCCTCATTTGGTCAACCCAAGGAACGGCGCGACTGGTTGAACTGGAAGGTGGTTGAGGAAAGGAAGCGTACTCTATACGCAATTTTCGTTCTCTCCAGCTTCCTCGTTTCAGCATATAACCATGCACCGGCTCTGACAAACTCGGAAATCCGCTTAGAACTCCCTTGTGAAGAGGATCTCTGGGCTGCCGAATCGCCTCAGGCCTGGAAGAAGATGGGCGGGCAAACAGCCACCAAGAATAATGTTTCTTTCTCGGCTGCTTTGACTTCCCTCTTAACCGCCAGTCAACGCGAACAGCAGAATAAATCGTCGAACTTATTCTTCAGCGGTGGTAGTACGGATGATCCCACGAGTGCGGAGAACCGACCAAGTACCTTTGGCTGCCTCGTTCTCATCTACTCTCTGCACAACTACATATGGGAAACAAGGCAAAGGCATATGGGTCGGCAATGGACCGCTCAAGAAACCGAGGCCATGCAATCCCATATTGAACCAGCATTGCGAGCATGGCAGGCGGCGTGGGCAAGCAACCCTGTGCACAGCTTGGAGCGTCCCAATCCGTTTGGGGCGGGCCCGTTGTCTGCAGATAGCATCCCGCTACTCGATCTGGCATATGTCCGGTTGTTTGTCAACCTAGGCCGATGCAAGGAGGCCTTCTGGCAGCGCGATTGGAACGGGATGGCAGATGAGCTTGCTCGGGGAACCGAGGTCTTTCACCAGACCGATGAACCTATCAACGATGTGTTAGATCCATCCCTCGCCGGTTCGCTCGATGCCCGGAGAGAGTCCGTGAATGACTTGGGTGTAGGCGAATTGGTAATTTCGCAAACGCCAACCCAGGATCATCCCATGCAATCCCTCTCCAATGTATACAAAACCGGCCAGTCCAAACGTGAGAAGCATCTGCGCAAGGCAGCCTTTTATGCCGCAGACTCGATTTCCATGTCCGACCGCCTCGGCAACACATTCGCCGAGTTCTCTTCTCGCGAACTTCCCATTCAATGCGCAATGTGTGCCTTCGACTGTGCCCAGGTCCTGGCCGAATGGATCACTACCGTTCAAGAACGCGTTGGCCCTTACCTGGGTATCCTTGGCCGTGATGACATCGACCTCACCCAGGTACCCGGGGTCATGCTTCTAGAGGACGAAGACTGCAAACTTATCGATAAGATCAGAGAGATTCTATCAAGCATTGAGACGAAAATGCAACGCACCGTGCAGAACAGCAACACAATGTCTGCGCTGAGCGTGATGCAACGCCTGCCCAGCGTCGTTGAGGGCGGGTACGGGTGTAAAATATTGATTGCCACGGCGAGTCTGCTCGATCGAGCGGCTGTGTGGCCAGTGACGAAGCTGATGGCGCGCTCGCTAGAGGCGCAGGCTATGCGGATGAAGGAGCGTGCGGAACACTCTTGCTCGCATGCCATTATGATGACTTCTTAATGATGACTCTTTCTTTCTTTGATGTTTTCGAATTTAACCCTTTTCTATCTGATGTTTATTTGTATCCTGTCTCGCGCGGTTGATATGTTCATGATCAACTTCAAGACTTGAGGAAATTGCCAGGACAAGGCAAGCCTAGGCAAAGGCATACCCCCCCCCCCCCCCCCCCCCCCCATCCCCGTGTTCGTCTATATTACAAACTTGAATTATCTCAAGGCTTATGCTCTACACTCTTCTTATATTGTCATTATTGCCTCTGGCTCTGCTTGCCTGATGTTGGTCACGCCCCTGCTTCGATATTGATACGATACCCCCGATCAAATCTATCATAGACGAATGCCATGCTATGTTTTCTGTGATTCTTTTTCCTTTTCCGGTTGTATGCACAGTGTTAGCGTTGTTATATCAACGGATCTCCGTCTTGAGTATTTGATTTCCTCGGAGATTCTGCTTGTGCGTTTTCGATGATTGACTGAATGAGCTACTCTCGCTTTTAGGTAGTGATAGAATTGTTGGTGTACTTAGCAGATTTGGACGGGGATTCATCTTGTTCTATTCTCTTGGATTATGTCCTAGGCTGTGAAGCATTGTGCAGATTTTTACTCCATGTAAATGAATGCAAGTTATCTATTGAGACCTCTGCTACGAGTAATTTGGCAACCAGGTAGGTTATTTTGGTATGTAACACCTGATGAGGGTACTCAGCCCACAGTGGAAGGTCATTGTTGATTTAAAACATCACAAAGTATGAACAGCAAGATTGTACTATTTACATTTATAACATTCAATGATTATCAATTTCGAGTTTACTTTCGTCATTCCATATCCAATATTCTGTACATGATCTTCTAGTTCATGGCTAATTCTGCCTGCCTAGATCGTGGCCCCCAGGCTAACGTAATTCCCGCTTACCCTGGCCACCCGCTTACCCTAGCCACCCCATCCAAAATCGCGTCTTCCTACTCACGTACCAACTTTAACCACCTACAATGCCACCAATTCGCTCTGAATCCTGGCTAAAATCCGCCAAACAAGAGGGCAAAATCCTATTAGCCCTTTCCGATTTAAAAGATGACCGTATCAAATCTATCCGTGCGGCAGCGAAGCTATACGAAATACCACGCGCTACACTACAAACACGCGCTCATGGTGTAGTCTCTATAGCAGAGAGACGCCACCCACGCCATAAACTGACCCAATTAGAAGAGAATTCGCTTTGTGAGTGGATTCTTTCTATGGATGCGCGTGGAGCAGCGCCTAGGCCGGCTACTGTAGGAGAGATGGCCAATATCCTACTAGCTGCGCGTGGTAGCCAACCTCCGCCTACCGTTGGTAAGAATTGGCCATCAAAGTTTATTGAACGACGCGATGAGCTTCGAACACGATTCTTAGTACGATACGACTACCAGCGCGTATTAAACGAAGACCCAAAAGCCCTACGAGCCTGGTTTGCGACCGTATAAAGCGTGATTGACGAGAACGGGATACAACCGGAGGATATCTACAACTTTAATGAGACAGGCTTTGCAATAGGCCTTATATCTTCGCAGAAGGTAGTAACGCGAGCGGAATTCTACGGTCGAAGACGTCTCCTACAGCTAGGAAATCGCGAATGGGTTACTGCAATCGAAGCAATTTGCGCAGATGGCTATTCGCTACCGCCATGTATAATCTTCAAAGGCAAAGTGACTATAGCGGATTAGTTCAAAAATCTACCACAAGACTAGCGATTCGAGGTCTCTGATAATAGCTGGACTACCGATAAGATTAGCCTACGTTAGCTACAAAAGCTCTTTATCCCATCAACAAATTCGCGCGTACGCGGCCGGTTTCGGCTATTAATCCTTAATAGCCATAGTAGCCATCTTACGCCCCAATTCGACCGAATCTGCGCAGAAAACGATATTATCCCTCTTTATATACCTACGCATTCATCGCATCTATTACAACCACTAGATGTTGGCTGTTTTGCAGTGGTTAAACGCGCGTACGGTCGCTTCGTAAGCGATCTTACGCGTACGGGATATAACCATATCGACAAGTGCGATTTCTTAGAGAACTACTAACACGCGCGGCTAGAGGCCTTCCAAAAGCTGGCTATTATTCAGAATAGCTTCGCAGCTAGTTGCCTAGTACCAGTCGATGCAGAGAGAGTGCTTTCGAAACTTAATATCTCTCTCCGAACGCCTACACCACCAAGCAGCCGGCCAAGCAGCAGATCTAGCCAATTCACGCCAAAAACGCCGAGAACCGTCGTTCAGCTACAAAAGCAAGCTTCGATGCTTAAAGATCTGCTAAAGCAGCGGTCAAATAGCCCTCCGAGCCCATCAAAAAATATATTAGATCGCATTATCAAGGGCCACTACGAAGCGCTTCATAACACTGCAATACTTGCGCAGGAGAACGCGAATCTCCGCGTAGCGAATGAGAAGATCGTTAAGAAGCGTAATAGGTCAACTAAGCAGATACCCTGCGAAGAGGGTTTGACCGTCGAAGAGGGCCTACAGCTAGTTGAACAGCTAAACCAGCCGGTAGAAGATGATAGGATGGTATCGCATGGGCAGAGCGAATTGCCTAGTCAGGCAAATGCACCACCTACTAGGGCCCCGCCTAGGTGTAGTGGTTGCAGGGAGATTGGCCACAGGATTAATACATGTAAAAATCGCTATATTTAGTTGAATTAATCGGTGTTGGTTGAGTTAATCGAATTTGAATTTTTCTAATGGGGGTAGGTGGCTAGGGTAAGCGGGTGGCCAGGGTAAGCGGGAATTACGTTAAAAGTCGAGGCAACCAGTTACATAATCCCCCGCTGTTGCTGGGGGTACCTTTACGCGTTAAGTGCTTTTCGCGTCAGGCGCCAACTCTGCTCCAACGAACGTCCTCCACCTCCCTCCTACTCGTTCAGAAATGACGAGAAACCAGACAACCCCTTGCCATCCCGCTGCGTTGCTGCAGTGTGCCACCGCCGCAGCTTCGAATTCCGTCCCGATTGCCGAGTCCGAGCTTGAGCGCCTCGTCCAGATCCAGCCCCGATGCCCTACCCGCGGGCCGTCTCGCCATTTAGTCTTGAGACATACGAGCCTACCGTTGGTGCTATAGCTGGTGATGAGCTACCGGCCTCTGATGACGAGTTGAGCGAGGCTGAGCGCGCGGCTAAACGTCAGAGAATCGAAAAGCTGGCGGAATCGTATCTCCAAGGCAAGCCGCTATTTATTCTTTCCGCATCGTTAAAGGGGCCATTCGATCAGGGCTGGAGGAATCCATGGAAGAAGGATCGCAAAGATATTGTCAGCCGGCGAATAAATAAGCGTGGCAAGAGGGCTATACAAGGTCCGGGCCGCGTCGTACAGGAGACCGACTTGCGCCGTCCGAAGCATCGGGAGGATCTAGCTGTCGCTGCCTCAAGTCCTCCAGCTGCCACACACCTAGCAGCTCAATCGCCTGTCCCGCCGGTGGCAAATGCCAGTTCCGCTGTCACATCTCGATCGGCACAGAAAAGACCTCTGCAAGCAGCAACGCGTGATGATCAAAATCTAACGACACCCCGTTCGATCAAGAAACGGAAGGATACAGCTTCGCGGCGAACCGCCGACCGTTCTTTTGCGCCCGCTGGACCGGCAGATTGGTTGAGGAAAGACGGCAAACGATTGAATTACACACATATTGAACCGCCTAGCTCCCCGACTCCGAAAATCGCATCTCGCCCAGCGGACAATAACGCCCGGGTGGGTGCTTTGCGTACTATGGAGGTGCGACTTCCTGCGGCGGCCTCACACAGGAGGATTTCGATAACACCGACAGTCGAGGGGGCAGGAGAGACCGAGCGTATGGATATTTCGCCGGAAGGTTCTCGAGTAGTTGGCCCAACAAAGCAAAATCATGAGCATATCATGGAGAAATCGTTGGCTGCAGGACCATCTGCAACGCATAAGAGCTCTCCTATTGTGGATACACACGTGCCATCATCGTTTCGTGTGATTTCCTCAACATCTCAGTTGCCCCGCTTTGAGTATCGAAGGTGGCATCAAGATAATAATAGCCCCGAGGCAGTGAAACAATCCCCTCTCAAAGGCAGCTCTGATGTACCGGAATCCGCGGTCGAGAAAGATTCGACTCTGCAGTCAGCTGCTGAAGAAGCCCAGCAAGATCTGCCCTTTGAACAGACCATGCCCGATGTGCTAGTTGCACCTGCAGCAGCAAGCATTCCGAATGAACCTGTCACTTGCGCTGAAGACGATACCTCCACTCCAATAGATTCTCGAGTGGTCTCCAACGCGCCTGCTGTCACTGAACGAATAGACAACTCAGTTGCTGAGCCTGATGACCTAGAGGAACCGAAGCAGCCCTCGGGGCAATTGCCAGATGACGGTCCCAAGAAGGCTAGCGAAAGCGAACTTGTCCAAACGTCAAAGGATCTGAGATTTGCCGACGAGGCAGGTGTTTCAACTTCTATTGAAGAAGACATTCAACCACATACCGAACAAAATACCTATGAGAATCTGCCATCTGCGCAACATGTACCCGTCCCTCCGGGAGTTTCAGATCGCATACCATCCTTACACTCTACCGCGATGCCGAGGGTACATGCAGATAGGAACGTGGAGGAGACTTCAGACACGCAATTGTCGACGCAGGCTGCCCTGCTTCACGCCCAGAAATCATTCCAAGAAGACCTGGACAGCCCCGAGCCTGAATTTATCCACCCTGCCGAACCGGAGGATACCGTGTTGGAGGCTGCCGAGGAGTCAATTCTAGCACAAGAAACGCCATATAACGATCCGCATGCTTCCGAAAAGATTCCCAATCCTTTCCTGCGGAGATTGTCAAAGGATAGGATCCAGGCTATGAGTACACAATGCATAATTGATGCCACCACCCCTTACACGTTCAGCACGGAGAAAAAGATCAACGCTTTCCGAGAACTCTCACCCGACCAGCCCAATAAACAAGAAGGCGAAAAGCCTGGCTTCGCAGATCTCTTCGCCCCATCGCCTCGGATACCTTCGCCTTCTCAAGATCACGAATATCACACGGCTCATTCCACTCCTCATGACCCAGATCACGGTCCAGAATACAACCCAGACCCTACCTTTACCCATCGCTCAACAACTCAAGGGACCGCCCTCCCATTTGCTCTAAGTGGCTCAACGCCGACTACTGCGCAGGATGGACAGGGCGCTCCCCTAGGTGTAGAAAGTTTCGACCTCAGCCAGGCTATCGCCGACGCTGGCAGTTGGCTACAGCAGAGCTTCGACTTTATGAAGGATGTTGGCCGTCCTAGTCAGCCTACAAGGCCAACATAGCTGCAGGGAGCTTTGCCTTACTCTTTTTTTTTTTTTTTTCATTTTGGATATAGCGTGTTGTCCTGATTTCGGTTGCATACATTATTGCTAGCATAGCGTGTTGTTAGGATTGAACTGATCTCTCCCCATTGCTTTGAGCGCAACTTTGCTACGATGGCTATGAAATTTCTTATGATCCTCAAAATATGATAGACTATGTTTTTGAGATTCTGGTGTCACGTCGAGTATCTTCTCTCCGAGTGCACCGATATTAATTTTAAGGCACGAAAGAATAAATCCACTGCTCTTATAGCTATTTCGAGTGCCGCTAATATACTCCAGATGGCTAAGTTTCTATTCGGACGAGGTGCTAACCCGAGTATCAGATATCGTCTTAGGAAGACTGGAGATAGCGGAGCGGCAGCAATGGTATTCCTTGTAGATTCTATTTTATCCAGGGCAAATACATACCTTTCTTCATTTATGTCGGTAGTGACGATCCACAGGAACCGTGGCAGTAAAGCGCGGGTGGCCCGAGCGCCCAGCGGGGGAAGCTCCAGGCGGCTTCATCAACCAGCTCCATCTCGGACGTCAATGCCAATCACCCATGGCCAGCCGCCCAAATGGCACTGACATCAGTATGGAGCACCTGGAATAATGCTGCTTAAAGTCTCTCTAACAATTTCACAGTGGAAAGCGTTCAACTTCATCGACGTCACCCCCGTCAAATTACCGGAGAACAGCTCCACGCTGTTCGGGGTAAGAACCCCCCATGGCACCACCCTCACATTGACACTGCTCTGACGGCCGACAACTTCTATAGAGCGATTTATCTAGCCTGTGTACCGGATCCGCGAACCTATTCCTCGGCACCGTCGACGGCTTCGTGCATATCGTCTCCTCGTCTTTCCGCGTCTTGCGCTCGTTCAAGGCGCATGATGTCGGCTCCATCACGCATATGAAACAGATCGGTGGGACGTCTTTACTTGTCACGGTCGCGGAGGATCTGTCGAATGAACCCGTTCTCAAAGTTTGGGCGCTCGATTCGGAAAAGAAAGATGGTGGGCCGAAATGTTTGTCGACTGTATCGGTACAGAATGCGAGGAGGCAGTTTCCGGTGCGGTGTCGCTCCAGACGATAAGGAGAGAGATCTCAGAGAGCTGACTTGTATCGCAGATATCTGCATTCGCAGTCGTCGACGATCTCTCGCAGGTAGCAGTTGGTTTCGCAAACGGCTCGGTTACGATCATCCGCGGTGATTTAATTCACGATCGTGGTGCGCGACAGCGCATTGTCTTCGAGTCGGAGGAGCCTATCACCGGTCTTGAAACACAGAATGGTGCCGTGACGATCCTGTACATCTCGACGACGAGCCGTATTCTGACCCTAGTTATCGCGGGACGGGGCCAGGGCCAGCCTGCGCGTGTTTTGGAAGATACCGGTTGCGCTTTGGGATGCATGACACTGGACAAGGAGACGGGGCAGATCCTGATTGCTAGAGAGGATGCGATTTACAATTATGGTCCTCGGGGTCGAGGCCCAAGCTATGCATTTGAGAGCCCCAAGGCGTCTATCAATGCTTTCCACGACTACGTGGCTCTAGTTTGCCCGCCGAAAGCAGGCTCCGCTAAAGGCGATCCGTTGCGCAAATATGGGGTCAATCCTGCAGATGAAATACTCGGCACGACGACGTTCACTCTGCTCGATACCGATCTGAAGTTTATCGCGCATAGCGAGTCACTTGTCGCGCCGATGAAGCACATTTTCATCGAGTGGGGGGATCTCTTCTTACTCACTACAGAAGGCAAGGTATGTGACTAATTTTTTGTCGGTTCCTGGACAGTGTTAACGTCTGATAGGTGTTCCGCTATCGCGAGAAGACCCTTCAACAAAGGCTGGAAATCCTCTACGAGCGCAATCTCTATATTTTGGCTATTAATCTTGCCCAGAAGATTGGGATTGATCCCTTGCAGCAGAATGCTATCTATCGCAAATACGGTGATTTCCTGTATCAACGTGGCGACTATGACACGGCCATGCAGCAATATCTAAGGGCAATTGACAACACCGAGCCGTCACAAGTTATTCGAAAGGTTGGTTTCGTCCTATCCTTTGAAAAGCTGCTGCTAACCTGAGTTCAGTACTTGGATACACAACGAATTCATAACTTGATCGAGTATCTCGAGGAGCTTCACGACCATGGACGTGCGACAGTGGACCACACCACCCTTCTTCTGAACTGCTATGCAAAGCTGAAGGACACTACCAAGCTGGACTCATTCATCAAAGCTCCTGGTGAGCTCAAATTTGATCTTGAAACGGCTATTGCTATGTGTCGCCAAGGGGGATACTTTGAACAGGCAGCGTTCTTAGCCACGAAACACGGCGAAAATGACATGGTTGTCGACATTCTGATCGAGGATTCGAAAAAATATGCCGAGGCTGTGGAGTATATCTGGCGATTAGATCCCGAAGTGGTATGTGGTATTCACACGTACAATGCAGGCAGCTGTCATGTAAATGCTGACCCAACTAGGCCTATCACAACCTAATGAAGTATGCGCGTGTACTTCTGACCCACTGCCCTGGCGAGACGACCGCGCTCTTCAAAGAATACTATACGGGGCAATATCGACCACGAACCACGGTGGAGCCGCCGCCAGAGCCGCAAGCACAGCCAATAAGCTCTGTTCAAAGCCTAGCTGGACTTCTTCCACTGCGATATGTGACTGGGGCCTCTGGTCCACAAGCTCAGGCTCCAAATAAGGAGACAGCCCCAGTGGAAGAGGAGCAAGCTGCTAATCTGCCACCACAATACGAAGTTCCGAAGCCACGTACAGCATTCTCTGCATTTGTAGATCATCCGCAGAACTTTATTAGTTTCCTTGAGACACTCGTGCAACAGCCTGGACTCAAGGAGGCCAAGGTGGACCTTTTCACAACCTTGTTTGAGATGTACTTGGATGCCGCAAAGTCCACTAAAGATGCCGTTCAAAAGCAAGAATGGGAAGGGAAAGCCAAGAAACTGATTGAAGGGAAAGACGTAAGTGCTCTAAACCTTGTCCAAGAATTCAAGGCTAACATACTTAGATTCCAATCTCCACCTCCAACGTGCTTCTGCTCTCGGATCTATCAAACTTCCGAGAAGGTTCCACCCTTGTCCGTGAGCAAGAGGGCCTGCGACTCGATATCTTCCGCTCATTCACCTCTGCCAAGGACACCCAAGGTGCCATTCAAGCACTGCGAAGATATGGACCCGATGAGCCTCAACTCTATATTGACGCCTTGACATACTTTGCCTCGAGTCCGCAAATTCTGGAAGAAGCAGGCGATGAACTAGACAAAGTTCTGCAACGCATTCAGGCTGACGGCCTTCTCTCCCCCTTGCAGGTGATCCAAGCTGTCAGCAACAACGCCGTAGTGACAATGGGCCGGCTGAAGAAGTACCTCGGCGACAACATCGCCAGCGAAGACAAGCAAATCAAAACCGTACGCCCTAGAATCCCACCACCCTTTCCTCGCAATTTTCTCATTGACTTTACTACAGAATCAACGCTTAATCTCGAGTTACAAATCCGAAACAGCCTCCAAACAACAAGAACTCAACAACCTCGCCACTCAACCCGTCGTCTTCCAATCACGTCGCTGCCAATCCTGCGGCGGAACCCTCGACCTACCAACTATCCACTTCCTCTGTCGCCACTCCTTCCACGAGCGATGTCTCAACCGCGTCGACGAGGATGCTCAATGCCCCGTTTGTGCGCCCACAAATGCCACTCTGCGGGCCATTCGCCAGCGGCAGGTTGAGTCGGCGGATCAGCATGATCTGTTTAAGGCGGAGTTGTCGAGGTCGAAGGATCGGTTTGGTGTTGTGAGTGAGTTCTTTGGGAGGGGAGTTATGAGGGCTTCTAGTACGATGGAGGGTTGATTGATGGTGGGGGGATTTGGCATAACTATTTGGGGAGGGTTGTAGAGTAGAGCTTTCTCTTGTTTGTTACATTTTGATACCTCCGGTTCGATCTTAACTACGCTTTGATTTACGCTTGATTTACATCTCGCCTCAGGTCAGTCGTAAATATAGAACAGACCGTTGATAGTAACAAAGTATGGAAGTAAGAGGCATAATTTTTGAATATACACAGTTCAAATGCATTGTATGGATGATCACGCTCTGCTCTAGCAATATCCCATACCACCAATCATGATCATGAAAAAGAAAAGAGCCATGCAAAAAGCACCATTTCAAGCAAGTCGCAAATCGCTCCTTTGTCTCGTTATATCCTCGGAGCAAAAATGTACTATGTACAAGCGGGGCCGAAGACGTAAATGTAAGAGGAAGAAGTGAAGAAAGTACATGAAGTATGGGGGTGATAGGAGCGTAAAGCGAGGCGGGTTAGGAGTTCATGTACATGGAAAGCTTATAGCAAGTAGATGTGGATCGTCGAGAAGGGGATTCAAAGATGGGAATCATGAGCTTTAATGATCACGCCCCTTCTCGCCGCCCCAGGAGATGCGGGGTCGATGGCCCGGTGTGAATTTGCCGGAGCCAGAGCCAGATGAAGAGGATTGCTGCTCGCTAGGACTGGGCTGCTCAGAGGGTCTGGTCGCGTCGGCGAATTGCACTTTACCCTGTGGCTGGCGCGGCTCGCCGTTATCTTCGCTGTCAGACTCTGCAATGGCGGCTTCCCCATCGGCTTCCGAGTCGGAGGAATCGTCGTTGCGAATCTCGCCGAGCGCAGCGAGACGACGACGCCGTTCGGCGGGGGTTTCGCCCGTATCGTCGTCAGCTTGGGGTGGTGGCACGGCTAGACCGGCTTCTCGACGCAAACGCGATGGTGGGATACGCTCGGTTCCATCGTCGTCCGAGTCACGGCGACGGCGATCGCGAGTGCGTGGTGCAGGACTGAGATTGCTGCGGCGTTTTTGCGCGGAACTTCCCCGGGTGTATTTGGCCAGCGATGTGGCGACGTTGGGGCCGGGCTCGCCGAGTTCGTCGGCTGACTCGTTCGCGTCACTGACGTCGCTTTCGGTGACAGATTCTGAGACGAGACCCTCGTCTTCTTCTGGGATTACCCCGGTGGTGGCGGATGCTGCGGCGGCGGACAGACGACGTTCTTGCTTTTCGGTTTGCTTGACGTCTTCGCGGGCGGCTTCTTGGATGGGGGAAGGTGCGTCGGTTTGCTGCACCACATCACGGCGAGCCTTGGCGTCAAGACCCTTGATTTGCTGGAAGAACTCGTGCTTGTTCATCCGGCGACCCTTATGGCCGATGCCTTGGGAGTCGACCTCCGTGTTCTGAGCAAGAGTGAAGCGTAGACCGTCATCCGTAGCCCAGTCGTCGGTCTCGGTGCGATATACAGGCTTATTCTGACCGGCTTGCGAGGACTCGCCCTCCTGTTCCTTGCCGAACCAGGTACCCATGCGCTTCAGTCCTGCACGAATATGTGCTTGGTCCTTTCCAGGCTGCGGCTCCTCGGGCTTGATCTTGGGCTTGGCCGGCTTATCGCCAGCTGGGATGGTGTATTTCTTGATTACCTCACCATCCTCATCCTCAACGATGATAGTATTACCAAACTGGTACGCATGAGCAGAGCGGGCCTTCTGTTTCTCGCCCTCGGCAGGCTTGGTTGCGGGCTTGGGCTTCGGCTTCGGCTTGGGCTCCTCCGGCTTCTCTTTGGTCTTGTCCTTTCCGAAGCCGGCCCAATTGGTCCAACGAGAATGAGCCTTCTCAACGGCGTGTCCGGCGTGCTCGCCAACGGCTTGCTGGATATCTTCACCCTCGGTCTTCTCATGAGGTTGGCTTCGAGAGTGGGCCAGCTCGCCAGACCTATCCTCCTCGAGTCGCTTGCGCTGTTGTTCGATGTGACGGGCCTGTTCTTCGGGGGTCAGGTGGCTTGTATCCTCGGTCTTGAGCACATTGCCCTCCTCATCCTCAATGATCATATGGTGACCCTCTTGGAAGACTTCCAATTCAGGTTCACGGCCGAAGCGATCACGCTCAGCGGTAGAAGTTGAAGCTCCACGATCCACGCGATCCCGTTCTTCCAGTTCCTCCTTTGGCTCTTCCTCGAGCTCGCTCTCCGTTCGTCGCTGTGGCATAATGGCAGACTGGCTGATTGGACCGCCTGCGTCAGTGTGCTTGCGACGGGCCCGACGAATAGGCTTCCGGGTGGCCGATTGGGTATTCTGGGTTTCGGTATCGTCCTCACGGACACGACGTAAGAAGTTGCCAGGCATGCCGATCGGTGGCAGAGTACCTGGGGGATACTCGGGCAGTTTCTCCTCGGAAGAACCCTCATCAAACTCATCCGCCTTGCGGAAGGACATGGATCCCTTGGCCAAGGACTGAACGCGGGGAAGGCGGTTCATCCACGATGGGCCTTCCTCGTTGGCTTGCGTGTAGGACAGGGTAATCGTCAGAGTGTTGATACGTTTGCCCAGGGTGAACACGGCGATGGATGAGCCGTGGACCAGGATAGACGAGATAACCATGAATGTAGTAATGGGCCATATAAGCCTGACCACTGCATAATCCGCCGGAAATTCAAGGGAAGATGGGTTGATTTCACTTTCAGGTAGTGGCTGTGTGCTATCATGTTCCAATTCCGCTCTCGCGAGAATGGCAGCAAAAATAGCACCGACACCAATGGGACCAAAATGACCGGCGAAGAGCGCTTCACGCCATGTTTTGATATCCGGTATAATGGGTTTGAGTAGAAGCATAATGGGAATGCGACGGAATAAGATGACCAATATCGCAATAACGACCAGTCTCCACGGAGTCAGGCCGAGGTCGGGGGCATTGTAGTCTTCCCAGGGGATGATAGATCCGAAGTAGACAAAGTATGCCAAATTGAGCAACAAGTCAATGACGTTGGAAACGTGTGACTCTTCGGTCTTTTCCGTAAACCAACCGTCATTGCTGAAGCCAACTCCACACGAGAATCCGATGAGCAAGTCATCCATGCCCAGCGAACTACCGGCGCCGGCGCAGAATACGGCCAGGACAAAGTAGAACACGAGGAAACTTTCTCGGTCGATCAGACTCTTCCGCTCGGCCCATTTGATAGCATGGCGAGCGGCGTATCCAATGACGAAGCCGAAGATAGCACCAAAGATACACTCGTAAAGGATGGTCACACAGAACCAATTCAGCGAGACCTTACCAGCATCGGGTCTGTAACGCAGGATATAGAACCCCAGATAGATGAATGGGAACGCCATGCCATCGTTACAGCCGGATTCAGCCGACAAAAGGTCACGCAAATGCTTGGGCACACGCTTGGCGAACTTACCCTTACCAACAACGGACGATGCCAAGACAGGATCGGTGGCCGTGACGCAGGCCGCACAGACTAGACTTTCCAGCCAGTTGAGCGGAGGCACCAACCACCAGATAAAAAGACTGGTGATCAACCAGCCCCAGGTCATGACGGGAACTAACAGCAAGCTGACGGACTTCCAATGGCGCTCCATGTAAGCCTTGGGCAACTCGACGCCGACGGCGAAACATTGCACGACTAGAACAATACGCGAGCATTCCAAAGTAATCTTGTCGACATTGCCCCAGTCATGGGGGTTGAATAAATTTGCGGCATGGGGACCGAAAATGATCCCGCAGAGTGTTGCGACGGTGGCTTCACCAATGTAGAGCTTCTCTTTCACGAAAAGCGAGCACAGCATGAATAAGCCTGTGAAGCCGCCAAGAATCATATAAGCCAGATGCGGCCGATCGAAATCAAGATGATCCCATGCCATGGCGAGAGCGAGACCGCGGCGGTCTCGGGAAGTATTGCAGATTTGCCTGCGATGGGGGGCGAATGAATGTACGATGTACGTTGTTGTCGTTTTCTGGTCTTCCTCCGCTTATCTTGGGAGGGTATTATCTTGCCTCGAACCACGGCAATTTAATTACCAGATGGATTTCCGCCTCGAACGTCGTTGGTCCGAATAGCTCCTCATGCCTTGAGGGGAGAGTATGGGGTTCGGAGTCGGAGATGGTAGACAGTTCGTTGAGCCCGATAAGGCCGTGAAACGAGCTGGGCTGCGTCGGAATACAGCACGGCTTTCTGACGCTCGGGGTTTTCGGAAATGGGACCGGCGCAGCGTGGCTGTCCGAGCGTATTCGGGTGTTCGAGAAAGTGGAGAGGGAGGCTGGGGGAGGGACCGTTTGGCGTTCGCTCGTTGGCTGCTGGGAGCGTGGGAGATCAACGAGACCAGCCCCGGGTGAGTCTCGTGCAGGCAGCAGGCAGGAGGTGATGAGAGAGAAGAAAAAAGAAGAAAAGGCGAAGACGAGTGCCAGGCGAGGGAGTCTTGGGAGTACTCTTGGCCGATGGAGAAGCCAGCGATTGCGCGCTGAGGAAGATTTGCCCAGAAACGACAGTTTCTTTGGAACCGGCGGGATTCGTCAGCCGAGACTTTTGGGCCCCACTGACCAAGCGGAACGGGGTCTTGGCCGGGCGGAGGATGGATGTGAGTTGGTCTTGCAATTGGATGTCGAGAGATGTGTCTCAGTGCCAATTGTGTTTTATTGACAAGATAAGTGATTTGGGAAATAAAGCAACAAACCCGCGTTTCCGGATGCAGGCATCCACGAGTGTTTATACTTCTCGGAGCAGTTCAGCACGGGCATTTGCCTCATGCCGGCGACATCCCAAATCGGAGAAAGGCATGGCGTACCCGATTTACCATACGATACGCATGCGGCCAAGGTCCGCGCCCCTTCCAGCCCTGCCAACTGCCAAGCCCAGATACTCTCTTCTTTTCCTTGATTGGCTCAACCAGAATGATGGCCCACTATCATCTCCACTGCTGCTGATAATTGCGGGGCCTTCTGGAAGAATGGCTGGTTAAGGGACGTCATCATCCTATAATTAAATTACCTGGTGGACTCGCGCTCTACACCCAAGACTACAGGGTTCAACCAGTAGATAGATCAACTACATAAAAAGTGTATCATAAATTATACACGGTTTACCATACTTCAAAGTGGCCTGGACACACCGCCCTGGAAGACACGGATATAGGTTCTTGGAGTATATCAACTAAAAACAGCAAAGAAAATACGTACAAATCAAACACGGAGGGGGAATTGATGGGGAAAACGAGGGATACACAAGCGCAAACCGCGGTAAATCCGAACATACAACGAAGCATCAACAAACACGTAGAATGTGGTCTCGGGCGGTTTTCCAACCGCCGCAGAGCCAAAGGAGATGCAGAAAGGGTCCAGACCCACCTTCAGGCTCTCCGCCACTCCGTCAACATGGCGGAGAACATGTTAGAGGTTCCAAATGGAAAAAAGCAAACATCCGGCCAAGCTCTTCACTAATCCGAAGTCGGTGCGGCCCGCGCGCACCCCGCGCGTATACACGAAAAAGAAAACCTCATGTTGGGGCTGGATTGGACCTGGGCCTGGGCCTGATTGCTTCGGATTTATGTACGACAATCCCGGCTACAGGGTTTCCCCAGGCGGAACGAGAGAGAAAAAGAGAGAAAAAGAGAGAGAGAAAGCCAAATGCTCTCCCATTACTCTCCCGTCGGCATTCCCTCGAGCTCATCGCTAAGTCGTCGCCAATTGTCCGCCTGCAGTTCGGAGTATTTGACTCGCTCCTGACTCCAGTCCTGGTGCAGACGGCTGATGTGGTATTGGCTCTGTTGGAAGTGAGTGAGTTCATCACGGATGCACTCCTTGATGAACACGCCGCGTGCGTGCTGCTGCACGATCGACTCTTTGTCCTGCACGATGACCCAAATTAGTATTGTGGCACGGAACAGGTCGCGGCATTGACCACCGTTGGGCGTGCAACGTACCTTGAAAATGGAGTCCTCCACCTTCTCGGCTTCCCCAGGCTTCACAGTGCCCGACGGCCGTGCCCGCAAATCCTGCAGCTTGCGCTCATTGGTCTCAATACGCCGCTCGAGTTGTGGGATATTGTTGCGCGCCAGCCGATCCCGCCGATCGAACATCTCGCGTACGCTGACTAGACAATCTCGCTGGGCCTTGAGGTCTTCCAGCACGCCGTCGGTCCAGGCCCGGGCCTCATCTTCCAACAGGCTTTGGCTAGTTGACAAGTGCCGAGCAGTCGCAGTGATACCGGTGTTCAGGCCCGGGATATCATTAGTGTCGACGGCGTACGTATCCTTGGTTACCTCGGTCAGAGACTGTAGAGCCAAGGAGAATCGCAGGTGATCAGCCGCAAGGCCGTCATTTCGCTTGGACAATCGCTCGAGCAGGGTGCACAGGTTGATATAGATCTCAGCGGAACGTTTCACGCCGCTGCGGACGGTCTCGAAGGTATCGTTGAGATCGGCGGGCAATGAATCCTCGAGGTCAGGTGGGAGCGTCCGGCCTTCGAATTCGTCCTGCACCGAGACCGTTGCCTGTTTCCGCCATACCGAAAGTTCCTGGGGGATGAGTCAGATGGAAGGATTGGATGCATCACGATCATACAGTGAGACGTACGGTAGGAACGGTTAGGAACATCACTACTAATTGCTCCTGGCCTAGAATTGGGTGCCGAACGAGGGAATTGGTAAATCTAATAAGTCCACGGCGCCGCTTCTCCAGAAAAGAATTTGAATCGGCTGATAGGTGAGTACCATTCACTTAAAGAAACGTGAGCAAGCAATTTGGAGGTGCTTAAACCAACGTAAAACGTACCTGAAACTCGCTTTGGGGGGAGAAGGGGCAACTGTCGGAACGGAAATCGCTTTTGCAGGCAATCCAGCAACCAGACAAAGTCACTGTATCGACGAACGACAGTGCTGCCTCGTCGCGCAGACTTGACTTCGTAGTTCCGATGCTGGAACATGAACATTCCCTCTTTTTCGGGGAGAAGGGTGATTGTGACTGTCTCTGCTACATGGGGGTTCGTAGTGCGGGTGATACCCATAGACCGACGCCGAGGTGCTAAATCGCCAGGTTCATCGCTGGAGGGCCCGAAGTCACCGAGGGCAGGTCGCGGGGCTCCCACAAAACCACCCTCGTCGGGCGTAGTTGCAATATTGCCACCCCATCCAGATCCTGAACTGCTGGGTGGTGGTGGTGCCGCCGTCTCAACTGGGGCGACGCTACGACCCTGCTGGGGGACCTCATTCTGGCTCGGGCTTGCCTCTTCAACCGCCCTGCTTGTTGACCAAGCGTTCGTCGTAGAGCGCATACTCCCGTAGCCGTTTCCAATCCGTTGTTCGGGAGCTAGAGATTCGTGATTGTGGTTCCGATGCAACTCCGGGCTGCCCCAAGGATCCGAGTCTAGCCCGCCCAGAGACTCTCGTCGCGAACGGCGAGACCGCGCAGAATTGGGCTCTTGGTTTGGGGATGGCTGTGCTGGGGGTGTAACAGGTCGTTCAAAGGCTTCGCTAGAATGAGAATCGTTCGCAGTTCGTAGTCGGTCGAGGAAACCGCTATTCGGCTGTGGGAGTCCTAGATGTCGATTGTCTTGTCAGATACTGAGCCGCCATGATAAGGGGAAACGCCTCAATTTGACGAAACATTACTGCACTCCTAGTACTCACTCTTACGATGGTCGTCGACCGAGTCGAAAGATAGGTCTTCTCCTTGCTGCGCAAGTCCAATCAGTGCTAGCAACACATTGAACTCGCCACGACCCAATCCACCCGAGCTCTCGTGGTCACCAGATACCACAAGATTCAGGATCCTGCCTTGATCCGATGCGCTCAGTCCGCTGCTGGACAGAAGCTCTCGGATTGAGGTAAGGCCAACGCCAGCTCCCACCCTATCGCCACTATTCAGGATGAGGTCGTAGGCATCAACATAGCTTTCGGGCACATCAGAAACGGGAAGCAACGTCCGGACAAGGTCTCGCCGAGCAGTGCGCTTCGCGGTGTTATTCTGAAGGTTCCAGGGCGATGAGGAGCTGTCGTCGCCGGTGTCATCCGCAAAGAGGGACGAGGAGCCACCGATCGATTCGTCCGCGAAGAGGGACGACTTGGGTCTCTGGATAGAGGCCGCCGTGGAGGGCTCTTCTGGCGATGTTCCGAAAAGGGACATCTGGAGATCGCCACTCGTGAGTGGTTGCGCCGGGGAGGAAGCGGGATATGGGAGGGTGTCAGAGCAGGTGTGGAGGTGATTGCTGGCCGCAATGACGAATGTGCTCGTCGATCAAGCGGAGCTCGGTCGGAGGTCGGTGGCTGGGCCGCACAGACCACGAAGGTTGAAGCTTGCGGTGGAGGGGTCGAGAACTCGCATAAATCGCAAGGAGCGAAACTCGTGAAGAAAGGAGAAAGGAGAAAGAAGGGAGAAATCGACTTGGCCTTGATTGATAGTAAAAATAATGAGGCCGTGATTGAAGAGGAGGTGCTGGATTGCGGACTGGGGGCGATAGCGGGTAACCCCATCGCTCATCCTTGGAACCTCCTCTTGCGGTGAGTGTGCTGCTTCACACTTGCCGCTAGTAACTACTGAGACTGCTTAACGACCTGACAAAATCACCCAGTCTCATTTTTGTAGGTCACCGCCGGAAAGTTCTGATTGATGACTATCCAATATTATTTTCTAGTATGTTGTAATTGTCGATCAATGCTGAGCCACGGATAGAGACGTAGCCCTATATATGTCTAGCCGATTCAGAGCTTACTGTAGACCACCCAACATCCACGGTTTTTCAAGATGTCATTATTCTCTAGAATCTAGATTGATAGTATACCACCCACTCCGAAGTTGGATGTTCTTTGAGTCGGATTTGTAGCCAACATTTTCGATGAGAACCTCGGCGTGTCTATAAGCGCAATTTAGTCCGTGAACAACCATTCCAATGTTATTTGTTGAGATAGGCTAAAAACATCAATATGGGGTGCCTCCAAGATAAAAGGCCCTATTGATAGCCTTAGAGTTACCTGCCTCTAGAAAATGCGACGTTGGTAGGTCCAAATCAAAGCTGCTATGCACGGGCCAGAGCTAAGCATTTGCCAACCCTGCCCTGTGACAGCAGGTGTAGCTTCACTAGATAATGATTGTTAAGAGAGTGAATGTAAGTCACTACGGAATCGAAGCTCTCTACTGTGTAACGAATCAGGTGGGGCGTTCTTATCAAACATCCAAAAAGGTCGGAAGGCCCTCCCGAGATTTCAAAAACACGCGATCTATACGTTCCCCGCAATATTGACCCATGCATGATGCAAGGAAACACAAAGCAATCATATCTGCCACGTCGGCACAGGTATCCGACAGTCGGAGTATGTAGCCTTACCTGCGCGACTCGCTGTATTTAGGATCCTACAAAAGGCAATGGAGACTAAACGGCATTAACTCCGCAGGAATCACTCTCTATTCTTCCTTCAAGAACGACAGACATGCGAGCTACAGCAATCACTCGCCTAGCCGGCTGGAATGGCCTACAAGTAACATCCAGCAATGGCATTACTCGGCGGTGTCTGACAATGCTGCACCCTCCAAAATTTGAGAATGAAAAAATGGTGAGTTTACACGGTTGGAACGCCATGCTACTTCAAGTTATACTGACAGCCGGTCCAGCTGAACTACACCAAGGGATCACCCGAAAGAGCCGAGTTGACAAAGACAATTCAGAGGATGAAAAGTGAATTTCCAGTCACGATTCCCATTCAGATCAATGGCGCCGAGGTATGTCTGGCTGTCACAAAACCTCCTGAGAAGCTCAACCTGATGAAATTGTTTACCACAGGTTGAAACGAAGCAGTCCCGAGCCCAAATCAACCCTTCGAAGCACCGTGAAGTCATCGCAAATTATGCATCAGCAACACCCGACCAAGTCAACGCATCAATTGATGCGGCCTTGAAGGCGAAAGCACAATGGGAGGCTACTCCGTTCGAAGACCGCGCGGCAATCTTTCTACGCGCAAGCGAGCTCGTCACCGGCAAATATCGCTCGGATATTGTTGCAGCAACCATGCTAGGACAGGGCAAGAACATCTGGCAAGCCGAGATTGATGCCCCGGCTGAAACGGCTGATTTCTTCCGCTTCTACGTCCAAGAGGCATGGGCTTTATACTCTCAGCAACCTAAAATTCAGCTGGATGGGAACTGGAACAAAATGGAGTATCGTCCCCTGGAAGGCTTCACATACGCCATCGCGCCCTTCAATTTTACTGCACTGGGTGCGACACTTGTGGGCCCGGCTGCGCTACTGGGCAATGTTGTTATCTGGAAGCCTTCGGACTCAGCCCTGCATGCTAGTTGGCTGCTCCACAAAATCTTGCTGGAAGCTGGTCTGCCTAAGAATGTCATTCAGTTCCTGCCAGGTGATGCTGAAGAAGTGACCAAAACCGTCCTCAAAAGGCCTGAATTTGGTGCTCTCACCTTCATTGGATCTACTGCCACTTTCAAGGGTCTGCAGAAGAAAATCGGCGATGGTATTGGCCAGGGTATTTACAACTCCTATCCTCGTGTAGTTGGTGAGACGGGAGGAAAGAATTGGGGCGTTGTGCATCCTTCGGCAGACGTCAGGAGTGCCGCTCTAAACACTATCCGAGCAGCGTTCGAATATCAAGGCCAAAAGTGCTCTGCCAATTCGCGAGTCTATGTGGCAGATTCTGTGTGGCCAGAATTTCAAAAGACTCTTGTTGAAGAGACAGCTGCCTTGAAAATCGGACCCGTTGAGGATTACGCCAATTTCGTCAATCCTGTGATTCATGAACGCTCCTTCGACAAGCTGAAAAATTTCATTGAAGATGCAAAGACCGACCCGGAACTAGAGCTACTGGTGGGTGGCAAAGCATCCAAAGATGAGGGGTTCTATGTGCACCCAACCATCTACCGCACATCTAATCCTCGTCACGACATTATGTCTACCGAGCTGTTTGGTCCCATTCTGGGTATTTATGTTTACCCCGATTCGGAGTGGGAGCAGACCCTTAAGCTAATCGACACGACATCTCGCTACGGCCTCACTGGTAGCATCTTTGCAAAAGACCCCTATGCCAGTCGTCAGGCACAGACTATCCTCAAACATGCTGCCGGAATGCTCTACTTGAACACAAAGTGCACCGGCGCCACTGTGGCTCAGCAGCCCTTCGGTGGAAGCCGTGATTCTGGTACCAATGATAAGACTGGCACGATGGCCCATCTCCAGCGATTCGTTAGCACTCGCACAATCAAGGAGGAATTTGTGCCTTTAGAGGAAGTCGAGTACCCTTCCAACGAAGTTTAAGACGAGCGCCTCGGGTCCAGGGTGAAGGTGGAAGATGTCAGAATAAACCTGGTTTCAGCCAACATGAATTGGAAGAATTGAGCCTCTTCCAAAAGAAATTGCGTTTCATATAGAATTATTGCCTATATACATAGGGAAAAAACATCATGCATCATCGAACAATACAAAAGCCAGAGGTATGACCGAGCTCGTAACTCACCATCGTTTTCAATGACATTTGTTCTATGGAGTCTAAATGGAACTCAATCTTCGCGCGTGGGGGTTCGACGCATAGGATCCAGGGCAACTCAGGCTGCGGGCAGCTTTATTGTTAGTATGCACCGTTAGCACATGCCCAACGCCCGTTTCAATGACAATCGTCGGCAAAAGACCCCTTGATGTTTACAAATTTCTACGCGCCCAATTTGAGCGTTCGATCTTCTGACGAAGAGAAGAGGTGAGAAGGCTGTCCGACGCCCATGCGAGGGAAATAACGTTGCGCCCGAGGGCCTGGTGGAGGAGCAGCCATAGGAGCTGGTGAAATTAGGGTAGGCGCCGCTCCAGGGTTGAGAGACATGAGATATATAGGCAGGGTTAAGAATTACGATTTTAGCCAGGTGAAATCTGCCGATTCTGCCAAAAGCCATGGCATGGGAATTGGTAAGGTTAAAGTAACGGGCATGTTTTCAGCGTAGATTCGGCAATCCTGGATGTATAATTGCAGTGTGGGACACCAACATGGGTCATTTTGGGCTTCGAGTACACTACGATATGAATGGTAAAAGAAGAGATTGTCTTTATCGAAGCCCGGATGGTCTAGTGGTAAGCGTTTCCTGCAATCACAAGTTGAAGTTCCATCTTTCTAACAAATTTCCAGGTATGATTCTCGCTTTGGGTGCGAGAGGTCCCGCGTTCGAATCGCGGTTCGGGCCTGTCTTTCTTTTTTGCCGCCCAATTTTCTGTTTACTTCCACGTTTCCAATTACAATTAACTTAATTAACGTAGTTAGTTAACTAGTTACAACTCATTCTGACTCAGCCAGTCCCTTCCAAATCCTGGATCTTACGCGGCCAGTTTTTGGTACATACTCAACCAAGCAACTTACATCACCCATGTTGAAGCTCAGTCTCAAAGCCATCAAATGGGCATCGTAGTCCCTAGGTAGAATCCCAACAAAAAGTAATTCTTTATCCTTTGGAAAATATCACTCGTTACCTTGCTGGCCTTGAGAATCTATCTTTGATTTCTGCTTTTTGTGGTGAATCTACTTTTTTGATTTCATTGATTAACGTCATTGAATTTTGTGTTTCATCTTTTAGAAACAGCATATATACGCACATTTTGAACTTCATACTTATAGAGCCAGGGCGCAGCATCTTATAACTAGCATACAGAAAAAAAGCCTGAAGACCTGCTTAGTTAACCTCCATCTGGATACAACACTGCCATCGCTTCTACCCCAAACAGGCCGGCCCGGTCTTGGAGAAAGCGGGGAAGTGACCGGGATAATACTATTGAGAGTGTGTTGGGGTGTTGGCAAGGAATGTTATCCTTGATAAGTCGATCTAGTTAGTGAATGATTGCCCGGATACCCCTCCCACCATCGGAAGGCCACACCGACTATGGCCCGGTGACCAGCGGAGGAGCATAGCCATCGGCAAATAATAGCGAGAAGATAGACATAGAATAGCATATATAGCATATCAGCTCAGGGATGACTTGGGTTCTCAGATTCAGCCGTTTGGAAAGGCCATTTTGACGACCCAGAGAGGCTAGGCAGGACCAGGAAAAGACTTCGCTGGGTCATATCCTTATCCTGATATAGATTTTGCCAAAATGTTCTCGCGATCTACGCTACTTTATCATGTTCCTCTAAAGCCCCGCACTTTGCCAGTTCAGCAATCATACTGTCGCTGGTATCGCTCCTCCAAGCATGGATTCCATGATGTGGCTGTTGCAGCGCCATCTAAACCACCTCTGGAAGTATCAGCAATGTCAAGGTTGCCCACAAAATTGCTTGTGCGGTCTTTGGTCTTGACGTCTCTCATGTCCTCAAAGCTATTCCTCAAACCCGCGTTGGCTGTTTTGAACGTTGTCACCAATTCCAGCTCCGCTCTTCTCAACCCCGATCGGAACTTTCTTCTCAACAAGCTCCTTCGATGGACCGTTTACGATCATTTTTGCGCCGGCACAAATCGTGAGGAGGTGTCAAAGACTGTGGCAGAGATCAAGAAAATTGGTTACCAAGGGGTTATACTCGGATACTCCAAGGAGATTGTACTAGATCCGAACGAGAAACTGGCCCACGACGACACTGGGTCTGCAACTTATAGTGATAAGTGCTACGAG